AGTGTAATTAGGATGACCAGATAGCAACTGTGAAAAAAACGGGACGGGGGTAGAAGGTAATAGGCTAACAGACCTGTTACACAGAAACAAAATGGCAATAAAATTCAGCTATAAATTGGACTAGCTCAGCACCCTTAATTGTTAAATGTTCTGTGCTGCACTTATCTGCTCCACGTTAAGTACCCTGTACTGACATGCAACATAAGCTTATTCCTGTGTCTGGTCTCTTGGTCTGCAGGTAGGCAAGAGATGGGAAGAGTGTAGATTCTGGAATTATGGCCCTGCGTATAATAAAAGATGGATTTCTGCTCAACAGCAGGAGGCTATGGAATGAAAGGATGGTCCTGTGGCCTCTGGCTAGTAACTCGATCTACAAGATGCATTTCTTCACTCAGGCTGCTGTGGAGGGTGCACAGGGTCTGCATGGGGAGAAGGAATTTTGAGTTTGGTGCTGCCGTATAAAAATGTATGTGTTCGTAACTTGTGTCGGAGTGCCGACCCCTTTAGATAGGTGTCCCTTTTTATTAGACAAAGTAATTTTTCTGAGTTTCAGTTCCACACCTATAAAGTAGGAGTAAACCATATACTTTCCCATCTCACAGGAGTGTTGTGAGGATAAATTAATAAATATTGGTGAGGTGCTCAGACATTACATGAATTGATTAGGTAGGTAGATAAATAGTAATTCCAACACAGGAATGTATGCATGTGACTTCAAAAGAGTTCTTTTTACTCAGAGACAGAAGTACAATATGTGCAGATATAATCATAGTAAGTTTCATTTTTAATGGAATAACCACATTAAGTACTCTAAATAGTCCCAACAATTCTTGTATTCATAACCACATTTCACTCTTATTGATTTGTACTGTGCACAGGTTTGAGGCAGAATAAGAATTAAGTCCTCTTGCGCCTACTGGATGGTTAAAAAAAATCCATATTTTGCAATCCACATCTTGCAAGGAAAATCCATGTTTGCAAGCAGAAGACTATAGGTCTCAGATCTACCACCTTCTAGATCAGAGGAGGGCATAAACTACTCTTTTAATCCCTAAATTCTATAACAAGGGAAAGACTAAAGACTAAGAATAAAAGATTTAACTGCCCAAAACCTCTATAATGACTACCTGTCTCATCACACAATCAATGTACAGAATTTAGTCTCTAGGCTCCATTGGGGGAATCTAGAATATATTTTGTCTTGAAAAATATTGTTCATAATCACTGACTACTGGAAATTACTTCAAAAGAGTTCCCAATCCCGTTAATTTCTCTACTGCCCTCCAAAGGTTTAAGGGTTCACCAGACTGCTGACACACAAAACTAAACCAAATATTATAACAAGAACTGATAGATCACGTAACAAAGGAAGCCACAGGAAGAAATTTTACACACAGGGTAGATGACAGTTTTTCTTCCATCTGGTTTATAATGCAAAGAAACCAACAGGCTATCTCCTGATTCTAGGCTAAACAATGTGTGCATCAGCCCGGCCCTTGAGCTCCAGGCCGGGGAGGCTAGCCCCGGGCCCTTCCTCCGCTATCCACCTTGCCCCGCAGCCACACCCCCGTGCTCTGGGTGGCGAGGTTGTATGCTCCTGCTGAGCAAAGCGGCAGTGTGTCTGGCTCCGGCCGGCGGTGCGGCTGCTAGACATGCTGCTCTGAGCAGCATGGTAAGGGGGAGGGGGAGTTGGATAAGGGGCA